GGACTGCTTAGAAAGCAAAATGTACGTATGCTTATGATTGTAGGTAAGAAACCCGTGGGCCGATGGCTTTAAAGGATAAGTGTAGATATTCTGAAAAATGAGATGTATTCCTGACCTTTGATGTATAATATTCCTTACGAAAATTTACAAGAGATATATAAATGAAGATAAACTTGGAATTATGTGATGCCTTTTAGCATGACATGGGCGCAGCAATTTTCTTGAAAATGGGCGTAACAGGTGAAGTTGTACATGAATTGTGCACCAAGCTTTACTGGAAAGACTTAAGAAATCAATAACAAATTTTTCTTTTCAATGAGGATAAATCATAGCTGAGAAGATAGAAACTATATTTGGTGAAAACTATATAACAGGGGAACAATAGTTGTAACCAATTCATTTAAAAATACTAAAATACAGCAGTTGAAAAATCCGACAGGAGGGGTTAGACCTCCTTGTATGGTTACTAACTGGTCGTTATCTCATCAAATTAGCTTTCAATTAAAATAAGAAAAGAGGAAACATGGGGATCAATGGTCACCGATTTGGCATTGTTTGCTATAGAGAGGGCGCAAGTAGCTATAAGTAGTGCAATGGGGCTTTAACGACTTCACATTGTACGTCACGTCAACAAGAAAATAGCGTTTCCCATCTCGTGCTGAGAAACTGTACATTGTTCTTGCCTTATGACCCTCGTATACACTTTGGTGGTGATTGGTAGATTAATGGGCAAGAATATATAATATCAATCTTTCATAATAGGTAAAGTTATTTCTTGGGATAAGGTTTTATCATTTAAGTCCTTTTCGAGCCGGGACTCGGTAATGAAGATTAAATGCCTTTCTAAAGAGCACTTGCGCATCGACTCGGTTTCGAACCCGGGGTCTTCCAGTTACAAGACCACTAGTCTTCTGCACTGTGCCCTCTGGCTATCTACATTCGCCACTCTCCCGTCACTCTCCATCCAGATGTAAATGTTCACCTGGCATTTGGTGCATGGGGTAGTGATGATTTTTGATGGGGTAATGATAATTGTTGATGCCCTGTGTAAACAAGATTATTATCATAATTATTGTGAACCGGACTCTGGATCAGATATTATTTGTATCACACAACCAGGTGCGGCGCTCCCGGGGGGACGGGGGGACACGTCCCCCTCTGTGTTTTAGGGGGGATCCCGGAAAATTTGAATGAGTGCACACAAAAAATGTATTGCAAATACTGAATAAGGACCGCAACAAACTTTTGGACTCTAGAGGGCCCAAGAGTGCAGCGTTTAGACTAATAAAAATGAGAGAATCTTCTCGCTCGGTCGTTACGCTCGGTCGTTACGCTCTCCCGTAAAACGTACAAGTAAATATTGTAGAAAATCAGTATTCCGTTGGTAACACGTAAGCAGAGTTTACACTGTATGTTTACAAGATTAAGAGTTGTGGAAATAGATCAGTGCTACAAAAATGAATATTCTGCTTGCTCGTTTAAGGAGTCCCTACCTGCATGGTTATACAAATATTGTCCCCTATGGGGAAATGTTTTGCTAACGTCCCTCTCTTTTCGATTCCCCCCCCCCCTCCCCGGCCATGAAAAGAAATCGGCGTCCCTGCACACAACTGCAGTGAGAATATGATTTACTCAAAAATACATAAAGGTATACCTGGTTCATGCAAGAAATGAAACGAGGGCGGGGAATGAAAAAGTGGATCTATCAAACACCATTTCATTTTAAAATCGGTCACTTAGTGACGCAGTCCTGCGTCAGGCAAATGACACCTTGTGTACAACAGGTGTCATACTTCCAGGCGCTCCCATTAAGTTCTAAATCAGTTTATCATTTCCTACACAATATGTCATACCAACCCCCCGGTCAGAAGTTACCTGGTCTTGTACAGATCTTGGGTGTTCTTGGTCATGCGGAATGTTCGACATTGCCATGTTTATGGCCCTTAATTTGGCGGGAACCCCATTTGACGACAAGTTGGATCGTCTGCACTGATGTCGTGGGTAAACTCTTACATGAGATCAGTTGGACTTGGTATGAATTCGTACCGGCTGATTCACCTGGGATGGCGTAAAAAAATAAACCAATTTAAAGCAACAACATCAATAATAATGATAAAACAGGACACACACAAAATACAAAATAAAACTTAACTGATATTGTAAGTCTTTAAATGTATAACTTTCGAAGAGCAGGGCAACTATATTTTTGAAAAAAATAATGTGTTTCACTAAAACAATTCTTACAGGTAAAGATGTTGATTCGCCATCACATTTACAAAAAAAGAGTTACCTGGTAACATTATTCTTCTTTTTCTCCTCCTATACTCCTCCTTTTACTCCTTCTCCTCCTTCTGCTCTTCCTTCTTCTTCTTCTTCTTCTTCTTTAATGAAATTTGAAGACTTACAAAATCTTCTTTAATGAAATTTGAAGACTTACAAAATGTTCTTTTTTTCAAATCATGAATTCATGTACCTGCAGCCAGAAATAGCATCCACAATATCATAAAGGTTTTAAACAACTATTGAAAACACGATCGAGACTATGGAATTGTTAAAGATTTATATAGTATTCAAAAGTCGTTTCATTTGTCAAAATGCTAGTTCTTAAAAGTTTAATGTTCAGTGAAATAGGACAACAAAGAAAAAAGTCCACAATTAGCATTTACGATAGTTTGTATTTATTGAAATGGTATTCAAAATCTTTTTGACTGAGGAAATAAAATGCTATTTATTCAAATATATGTTACTGCAATTTCAGAACGGATTAAAAACAATCATACATAATTCACATACCTGCAGATTGAATAAGCATCCACGAAATTAAAAACATGAACTCCATTATCAAATATCGACTCCTTCTCTTTCGGAAAGATATACACCGACTGTATAGGGACTTCGCTTTATTGTTGCATGCAGGGTTGATAAATGAATACCATAAACAAAGAGCTGAATTGCACGATACTCTGCATTTATCCGCATTATGCATTCCAAATCCCAGTATTGATTACACTATATCCACTTTAACACATTTTATGAACAAAAAGAGAAGTAGGATTCACATTTTATTTTATTTTATTTTATTTCTGCATTTTCCCAAATAATAACTGTATAACATAGAACATATAAACGTATGGACGATAAGGTATAATACAAAATATACAAACAATAATAACTTCATGTCAAAACGATTTTTTTTTTTTTACATATGTACATATGATAACGAAACTTAATATTTCTTTATCATTTGATTATAAATTTAGATTATTATCCAAACTATCTGTTGAAAAAGGGCAGGAAACCGCAATCATAAGCGATGCTTGGCTAGGTTGGCGGCCTCAAAAAAGGGGTCTTAAAGGTAATACAAAGTTTTGGGAAATTTTGAAAATTGGGTGGATAGTGATTCTTTACAATTTGGATATATTTGGATGCCCCTGTGGATGTATTATAAGCACTAGAAAATTTAGCCTCTAAAACACTTCTGCTTTCGAGAAAAATTGAATATAAAAATTTACCGGTGCTCCCGGTAAATTTTGATAAATTTCAAAAAGCGCCTACGGCCGTACAATGGTAGCTGCGACCATGAAAATCTCAGAATATGTAGATGTGATATATAACTTCCAAACAAGAATAGCAAATTGGTCGATTTTAGTCAAGAAACATTGTTTTATAGCTTAATTGATATATTGACCTTGACAGGGAGCTATACAACAAAAAGAGTGTATTATTTACAATTTCATAACTTTAAACTCGATTTCAACCGCGACAACGATCACTGAATATTGTAGGATCGCATGCTTCCAATATGTTCATTTGAACCAAATTCATGACCCCATACCAAAACTTTGTATTACCTTTAAGTTAAAACTTAAAATGAAAAAGTGTTTAAACGATCTTTGTGTTAGAGTTTGTGAGTGTGTTGTGTGAGTGTGTGTGGTGTGTGTGTGTGGATATGTGAGTTTTAATGAAAGGGGTTCATAAGGTTACCTTTAGAATGACTTTGGTGCAATATAGTTTTCATACCCATTTGGCTATACCTACTGACCGGAATAGGCCATTTTCTTAATTCACCAAATTTCAAGCATACGTCTTTGGGAAGTGCCTCGATACGAATGTTTTCATTCACCTGTTATGAATAACTCCTGGCATATTTCAGAAGTGAACATGCAAATTGCATATAATATTTCGGGCTGTTAGGTAGGGCAATGCAATATATTTGTCCTACCATGCAACAACTTATGTATGAAATTTTAAATCTGACTATTGAGATTATTCTCAACCGGTCAACGAAATAATTAGTATCGAGACACTTCTTTTGTCTTTGCCTTTTGTAAGATTGGTGGTCTATTTCACGCAGATTTGATAAGCCAATGAAATATAATACTAGTTAGGGTATCCCTTAAAGTCAGTAGTGGTAAAGGTCCCAATGTAATGACTGAGTTTGATCGTTCATTTACAAAGCTCTTAAAAGGTGTCCAGGATTACTCAACTCTCACTAACATTATGGTACAGAGTTGAACGGCTATCACTCATCCTTGTTTGCTGGAAAATATGTGTAGTGGCGACAAGACTGACGAGTCAATGAAGCATCAGTAGCAAACGAACAGCAGTTTACAGAATAGTCCATATCCACCCAGAAGGTAGCTGATATATGGGTTGGAGAGTAGCTAGCTAACGGGGCTCAGGAAAACGCATTCAGTAGAGTTCTGGAAGCAAGTGAGATTACCCTTGCCGTCATTGCCGACCGTTGCGGTACAGTACAGTTCTTTCCATGTCGAGGTAAACGTCGAGGATTGGAGATCACATCTTGCCTCACCGGGAGGAAACAGATCCTCGATGTAAACAAATCGGAGTAGATTAGCTACATGGGCACCGACATTTTTCCTCATGGTGAGGTTGTGGAATCCTCTATCGGAGCGTTCCATCCTCTGGAGCAGCAAAGACACCATCGTTGAAGTTCTATTTCGAATTAAATGCACCAGGACTCGATCTCGTTGTCCTGCTTAAAGGCAAGATGTATCCATGATCCCGTCGATGCAGACGGCACAGTCTTGATCTGGGGCAAACAAGTCGTAGGAGTAGGTTGCTTCCTTTGAACTAGAGCATTGGTAGAAAAATACAGTAGCATATCTCCCCCCTCAGGAATTCATAGACTTGTTGTTCTCCTATGGAAGGAAAGTTGGTCCCCCAAATGACAACGGTCATCGATATAACCACGGTTACGTGAACTATCCCCATTGTTGTTCCTAATGATGCAGTTATGTACGGAAGTTTTACAGTACCAAGATGATGTCCCAACCAGGTACCACGTTTTAAACGTGCATGGAAAGAGACTACTATTTATAAACTGCTTTATCCACAGACATTTGCACTGGACAAACATTTCAACACTTCTTCTCTGGAAGCCAAGGATGCTCCATGAAAACACACAAACATGACACGTTGGAAACAGATGGAGCGAAATAAAACATCTTATCTAAAAACAAATTAATAAGTGAAGATGATAGATTGATGGCTTTTTCAAACGTTCCTACTGGATAAGGCCAAGTATCTAACTCCTTGAGCTGATTCCACTCTGATCTGTAGTATTTCAGGGGAAGGTTTACATGAAGAATAATATATTTTTAATTGTTAGCAGGGCTAACCGATTAGCATAAGAATGTTTAACAGGTGGTGTTAGGAGTACTCAGTTGCGATGAGCTTGCAGAGCTCACTGACCTAGTTCGACACGCTGCAGGACGGACGTCTAATTGCTGCGCTTCTTCTCTTCGGTTCTCGTGCACATTAATATGCGGTAATGTGAGAATAAATTCGATTACTTTTACAATGTCGAATCAAGATATTAGTCAAGAACAGGACCACAAGTGGGGGACTGAAGCTCCATCTGGTTCTCAGTCTGGAGCTCTTACGCCGTCAGCTGTGAGTATCGCTATTAATGAGGCCCTTGGCAATATTTTGACTCTTCTAATTCTAAGTGAAAGAAGACAGCAAGAACAACTTGAAAGGGCGTCCGAATTGTCCTTTCCTTTTAAAGAGAAACAAGGTTCAGTACGAATTTAATTCCAAAATTGCTGGAGAAGCTGGAAAAGGGTGTGGCCTTTTTGAAAGAAGGTAAACAGGTTTCCGTCTTTTCAAACCTTCAGGAGGGTATCGCTGATATCAAGAAGAGAAAGAAGTTGATCAGACTCGCTGTTAATTCTGATGCAGGTTAAAAGATATATGGATATGCGAGAAGTTCTTACGTTGGTATAAGCTAGATAAGTCTTGTGAATGATGCATGATTCTTAATTAAAATGCTTGCATACCACTGGGGTAAGTGTGCATAGCGGAGATTTTTGATGCAATGTATAAATTCTTGTTCGTTCATTTTGACACGTTTCAGCGAGCTGGTTTTGGTGGATTGTTCAATCCGCTAATTTAAAACGGATGAATTGTTATGCAAGTAGCAATTATTTTTGTTCTATATAGGGTGGTTAACAGTCGATGAATACCTGAGCGATGATCTAGCAAGCGACTCTGAGGATGATAAACGTATCAGGCAAGCTCAGGCACGAACGTCGAAAAAACGCAAGGCATCTCGGTCCTCATCAGCTGCTAATTAAGGGCAAACCTCACAAGAGTGATGGCTATTCACAGAGTGCTCGATCCATGCAAGCTCTTCTACGTCCTGATAATTATTTTCGTGGGTTTGGCGTTATTTTTTTTTTTTAAATTCTCTGTTGGGGGTGACGCCAACTCCTCCACGTATGGTTGGCGGGGGCTGACAGTGGGCCAAGGCCAGCATATTATTGCTCCGCATGTGGGAAGCAAGGTCACTGGAGAAGATTTTGTCCAGGTGCCAGAAAGCAAGGTTCTTCATTCCAAGATAGGCGTTAGGCGTTAGGTGTTCCTCTGCCCGTAGACAGAGTGAGCAAGGTAAGAATAATCTGTTTTAACTTTTGTAACTCACGCATGGTATTTGTCAAATTTGAAGATAATATAGAATGGTGGGGGATCCCCACATTGTATAATGTTCTACAATTATGAAGTACAGATCGATGGCTTATTTGATGTATGCATAATTAATGTGTAAATCATGCTTATGACCAGGGTGGTTGCTTTCCTTCACTCACAGTTTGGAAAGACTGAAGCGCAGCAGGAGAAGAATGCAAGTTCAGCCGGTTCATCATCACTGCATAGTGAATCGTGCACGATTTAATTCATGTCCATCTACAAGCAAGGGAAAGGTAGAGACAGACGTCGATCTACTGCAATAGCAAAGCCTACAGTGTTGCTTCCGCAGAAAATGCAGGGTATGATGAATTAAAATTGTACATGAAAAATTATTTTGAGTAAGAGCAAGGTAGCTCTGAGCCGATAGTCAAAGGTAGACTTAAAGCGTCTATGCAGTTTTGGAAAAGCATTGGTGCATCTCAGTTTGTGCTAGATATTATTGAGCTCGGTTACAAGTTACCATTTTTACAGACCCCCACTACAATGGAACTGAGAAATAATAAGTCCGCGTTGTCTTATCCGGAGTTTGTCACTGAAGCTGTTAATGATCTACTTGAGAAGAAATTAGTTGTTGAGTCTGGTCTGCTATTGCACCTCATGTTGTTAACCCTATATCGATGTTAATCCAGAGCTCCGGTAGAAAGAGGCTGATTCTTGATTTACGATTTGTGAATACGTATTTGTGGAAGAACAAAATTAAATTCAAAGATTAAATGAAGCATTTATTTTAAAAAGGGAGATTTTATGTTTTCCTTTGACCTAAAGTTGGGTTACCATCATTATGAATTTTTTCACGAGCATACCTGCTTCTTAGGTTTCAGTTGGGATTTTGGAAGTGGTACAAGATATTTTATGTTTCAAGTTTGCTTTTCGGTTTGTCTACAGCTCATTATGTGTTTACTAAATGTCTTGAACCGATCGTCAACCATTGGTTTTGTATTTAGATGAAGGATGGGGGCGTGCGGCTTCCTTTGATTCATGTGAGGCTGTAGCTAAGACAGTGAAAGATGACATACTGGAAGCAGGTTTGGTACCTAAATGTTGAGAAATATTAACGGATTCCTGTCCAGTCCTTGGATTGGCTTGGTTACACGGGACAGCAGTGTGGGTTATATTAAGATAATTCAAATGAGAATGAAGGATCTGAGTGATGTATTTCAGGCAGAATTACCACAGGCTACAACACGAAAAATTGCAGCTCTTGCTGTTCAGATTAATTTTCTGTACCCAGTCGTTGGTACTGCGACTCAGTTAAAGACTAGATTTATGCATCATGATATTATTAGTAGAGATCATTGGGATAAAACATATAATATCCGTAGTGATAATGACCTGATCACAGAGTTATTTGTCTGGAAGGAGAATTTATTTAGTAAGTGTGATGGTATGAAATGGTAAGAAATTGGACTGAAGTAGAAATGTTAAAAAGCTCTACTTGGTGGGAACTTATGTCAGTAAGTTAGCATTACAAGCATCTGTATCTTATTTGCAAAATAAGACTGTGAAGGTATTCACAGATAACAAAGGTGTGATTTCGATTGTGGCGAAGGGTAGCATGATTGCAGAGTTGCATGTACTGAGTTTGAACACTTTTAATTCGTGTACAGAAAATCATATAAGTTTACAAGTTCAGTAGGTTCCCAGAGAGGAGAACCGTAGTGCAGATGCACTTAGTCGTATCATTGATTTCGATGACTGGGGAGTTTCTGTTGAAATTGTTAAGTTCATGGATAACTAATGGGGTCCTCATCATACCGTTGATAGGTTTGCAGATGATCTTAACTTTAAACTCGCCAAATTTAATTCCAAATATTGGTGTCCTTATTCGGCTCAAGTTGATGCGTTCTCCTGTGATTGGGCAGGTGAGAGTAAATGGTTGGTTCCCCCCATTGAATGTATTGGACACGTTTTGAAACACATTAACGTGTGCCTTGCTGTGGGAACTCTGGTTGTCCCATATTGGCCTTCAGCTCCTTTTTGGCCCCTCTTGTTTTCGGAACATAGTGACTTTTGTTTCTTAGTAACAGATTCGGTGACATTTGATAATTCTGAAGGTTTTTTTTTGTGCAAGGCAGAAACAAGAATTCTATTTTTGGTATTATAAAATTCCACAGCCCAGTGTTATTTTTACGCCTTAATGGTGTTAAGCGAGTATTACGTATTGGAATTTTATTACATTGTTACCAGCAGCATGGCTGGAGGAAGGCCACTTGGCTCTTGAAGTATGGTGTTTCATTATGTTGCAGAACATGGTGACAGATTGAATTATTTCATAACCAGCCGCATGGCTTGAGGTAGGCTGCATAGCTACCTCTTGAAGTATGGTGTTCCATCTTTGCTGTAGAGCATTATTATGATGGTGACGGATGTCTTTATGATTATGAGAGGATTGCATGATCGGTCCTGCTCGGTATGCATAGTGCTATTGATGTCAACTATGTATTGGGTTGTACGGTATGTTCTGTTATGTATAAATCAATTTTTTGGGAATGATAAGATAAGATATGATATGATAAGATATGATGTGCTTCTTTTATATATGCCCCAGAATTTCGCCACAGGAAGGGTATGAAATAACATTGACCAGGATCTTGACAGCTTCGAAAGCTGGTAGAACGAATTATAAATAAAAAGAGAGCCTTGTTAGCATGGGATGAGTGGTGTAAGCAAAATAAGGTAAATTCAGTTATCGCAGAGCCAGAGGATATCAGTAAATATCTTATTCATTTATTTCAAAGTGGAGCTCCTTATTCCAGGATGGAGTAAGCATTTTATGCTCTTAAGTGGTATTTTGACTCTAAGGTAAATGTACGTTTTAACATATTGTACTGCAAGGTTTGAAAAAGTTGGTTTATAAACCCATTGTGAAGAAAGAACCTATCACATCAGAAATCTTGAAGGCTGTTGTGGATAAATATGTTTCATCTATATTCACTTGTGTGCTCTGACTTTGATTGCTTATGCTGGTTTTCTACTTTTTGATGATCTGATTAGTATCCGTAGGTGGGACTTAGATATGTATGTCTATCATGTGAGCATTTTCATTATGAAAAGCAAAACTGATAATTACAGGTAAGGAGCCTGGGTTCTCATAGGTGCGATTA